GTGATTTTAGTTTACCAAATTGAAGCTTCTTAGCCTCCCACTCAGTTTCAAAATCCAGCATATGTGCAATAGGTAAAAATAACCGTGAATTCAGGGCTCCTAAAGTTTCCAAATTGTTGCCAGCGCCTCAAGATACCCACAATATTTGTTGGTTCCTCTTTCCCTCAGTAGAGGTCTTTTACATGGGCCAGCATCAATCCTTGGCTCATACCTAAAACTGGTAAATAATCCCAGGGAAGAAAGCAGCTGATAATAAGCTGCTCACCTCAGAAGGACTTTATCCACCCCAGATTTTTAGTTTACTTAAACTGCTTTGCTTACATAGCTTTTCTATGTCTTTAAAATATATTCTCACCTATTTATCTGCTTTTTATTTTGTTATTGTAGCAGAAATGGTATTCTGCCATGACCTACTATATCCTAGTTCAACACAGAAGCCTCCAAGTCTGTGAGTGATTTCTTGATTCTGTTCCCTCCTTATCTGAGAGCATTTTATTTTCTCCTCAGTTACATTTTGAAGCCTGCATACTTTCTGTTAGACCTCATTTTTCAGTAGCCTGAGGAGTGGTGGAGGCAGAAGTAGCGTTCAGCCAAGGAAAGAGTTTGAAAATATTTCTGGGTTCTACACTCTCTCCTAAGAGTTTATTATACATTATATGTACTATAAGAAGGTTTACTCCCTCTACTTAGCCACCATATCTCATTCAAATGGAAGGGGATCATTTGGATAACTTCCCCATTTCATTATGTGATACTGGAGGCTTCATTTGTGTAAGTGTATAAGTTCCAGGGTTCATTTTTCACATTTAAGCCACATTACTATCTAATTGCCACTTCTACTATTTCTCTGACAAGGGGGAAAAAAAAAGAATACACACACTTAGGTGGCTCCTCAGTTTGGGAAGTATTAGTGATAATTCTCAGGATTTGTCAACTCACTAGTAGAGTATCTAGGGACTGGGGCTATATTAAGTCACTAAGTCATGCTGTGCCTCTTCCCTCCGAAATCTTCAGTTTCTTTCCTTGGCCATCATTTTTGAAGTTATTGTATCTAATTGCATTATTCTTCATTGCTTGTTCTTGGTGAATGTTTTTGCTAGTTGTTACTATTTTATAGACATTTTAAGGGGAGAGAAATTCTATGAGTTAAGCTCAATCTACCATTTTAATTTGGATATACTCAGAGTTTTCTAAGACTCTAAATGTTAAACTTGGATATCTAATTAAGAATTTTCTAATACCATAAGCATTGGACTGCCTGACTGCTTACAAAGGTACCAAAGATATAGCCAGTCTATTTTTCACACTACCTGAGCCCTAATTTTCACTGTCCCAGCTACACCATGTTTTAAAGATCCAGTATTTTCCTGATCAGTTCACTTAAGCTACTTAATCAGTTAATCCTGATTATTCTGTGTATAATTGTATGTATATGGGCAAAAACATTAGACTCAGAATAAAGAAAAGGCCTGTACATGTGACTTTTCAGTTGTGCCCGATGTGCAAAATACTGCTAAACCAAACTGTAAGGAATAAAACTAATTAATTTACAAGGATATAAGGAGGTATCTTCTTGAAAATCTTTTAAGAGGTATGAGACAATAGCCAAACTATGCAAACAGCTTAGATGTCCAAAACAGATGAATGGATAAAGAAGATGTGGGGTATACACACACACACACACACACACACACACACACACACACACACACACAATGGAATATTACACAGCCATCAAAAATGAAATCTTGACATTTGCTAAGATGTGATGGAGTTAGAGAGTATTATGCTAAGCGAAATAAGTCAATCAGAGAAAGACAAGTATCATATGACCTCACTGATATGAGGAATTTGAGAAACAACACAGAGGATCATAGGGGAAAGAAGAGAAAAATGAAACAAGATGAACCAGAGAGGGAGACAAACCATAAGAGATTCTTAATCTCAGGAAACAAACTGAGGGTTGCCTGAGTGGAGGGGGGTGGGAGGGATGGGGCGGCTGGTGATGGACACTGGGAGGGTATGTGCTATGGTGAGCGCTGTGAATTGTGTAAGACTGATGAATCATAGACCTGTACCCCTGAAACAAATAATACGTTATTTGTTAATTTAAAAAAATTTTAAAAAAGAAAGAGGTATGAGGATACTTGTATAAACTGCTTGGAATGGGGGGCGTGGGGAATGGGATGTAAACTTTCTCTAAAGGTTCCTATCAAAACCATGAAGGTTCAGGAAGAACCTTCTGATTTCTATCACAGGGGAGTTTATTTGACTGTCATGGACAAGTTTCCTAATAATTAATAGTAGGAGATAAAACTCGAGGACTTAAAATGAATATGGTTTCACAAGATTTTGTGATCAGAGGGGTGTCTGTTTTTATTTATAAATGAGAAACTAAAATCTAAGAAAAGTTAATTTGCCCCATATAATAATGACATGGATACTTCACAATTACCATTTACAACATCAAAATTCTAAGTTCCCTAATATTTTCTTTTTTTTAAGATTTTATTTATTTTTTGACAGATAGAGACACAGCGAGAGAGGGAACACAAGCAGGGGGAGTGGGAGAGGGAGAAGCAGGCTTCCCGTGGAGCAGGGAGCCTGATGCGGGGCTCGATCCCAGGACCCTGAGATCATGACCTGAACTGAAGGCAGACGCTTAACGACTGAGCCACCCAGGTGCTCCTCCCTAATATTTACTATTTTTGAAGTCCTCTTTCCAAGACATTATTTCAACTGTAGATCATATAATCTTTCCATGACTAAAAAAAGAACTATATGCAAAAAGATCAAAAGTAACCAGATAATAAGACAAAAAGCTGTTAAACTACTTTTCCATAGTTACTTAGTAGTAAATATTAGTAATATTTTTTGTTATTCCAACAAAATACTTTAGCTGACTATGGTTCAGCTGTATACCTGGCTAAACCAATTATTTTCACACTTTGCTTTTATAAAGACCACTATACAGTAAAATACAATCATAAACACCGATTCCTTCCTCTATTGCCATTTTAGTGTCAGAGCCAAGTAGACTAAGCCAGCTCCACTATTAGGTAACGGAAGCAATGTAATTATAATCTCATTAGTATTTAACCATGGCTTTGCACACTGGCATAAAACATTTCATTGTAGTTATGAGATCTTGGATAAGGTGTTTTCTCAGGATTTTGGTCTCCACATCTATAAATGAGACTGTATTAGATAATCTCTCCTCTACTTCCCAAAACTTTCTAAATATGTCTATACATTTTACAGTAATTAGCTGACTCTTAGCAGTTTCTAAAAAAAAAAAAAACAACCTTCTTATTCTTCAAATACTTTTTCATTTTGATTTACTTAATTCTAACAAAATACCCCAATGATCCTTTTTAATTTAAATTCAATTAATTAACATATAGTGTATTATTAGTTTCAGAGGTAGAGTTCAGTGATCCATCAGTCGCATATAACACCCAGTGCTCATTACATCATGTGCCCTCTTTAATGCCCATCACCCCGTTACCCCATTCTCCCATCCCCCTCCCCTACAGCAACCCTCAGTTTATTTCCTATGGTTAAGAGTCTCTTATAGTTTGTCTCCCTCTCTAATTACGTCTTGTTTTATTTATCCCTCTCTTCCTCTATGCTCCTCTGTTTTGTTTCTTAAATTCCATACATGAGTGAAATCATATGATAATTGTCTTTCTCTCATTGATTTATTTCACTTAGCATAAGACCCTCTAGTTCAAAATATGAAAAGAGCCCAGATGTCCAACAACAGATGAATGGATAAAGATGTGGTGTATATATATACAATGGAATATTACTCAGGCATCAAGAAAAAAATGAAATCTTGCCATTTGCAATGACATTGGTGGAACTAGAGGGTATTATCCCAATGATCTTTAAATGAAAATATTAAAATTTGTCAGTATCCATAGCAGGGAAAAAAATTAAAGAATTTACACATTACATTTCTGCTTATAATAAAGTCCAAAGAATGGATTTTTTTTAAAAAAGATCTTATGCCTTGACTATAAGTACTTATGTAATATAACAAAGGATTAACAAATTTTACTCATAGAAAAATTGTATAAAACACTTTGATGTATTCCACAGGTATTAAGTACTGACAACTAAAAATAACCAAAAGAAAGACAAGATTTATTAATATAAACTAAATGGGTTTTGGATATGAAACAGATGATAACTAAGAGTTCTGCTAATTGGGACTAACTTTCCAAATGGGAATATAAAGAGCATACAAAATAGAGTTCTCAAAGTTGTATCAAGATGAACAACTGTTTGATAATTTAAGGTAATTGTAAATTTTACATGACAATTTTGTTGAACAAATGAATGAATTTCCAACCATAGAAGAGTATCTATATCTAGCACATAGTAGATGCTCAATAAACGTATGCCGAATGAGTTAAGACCAAGTTTCTTTTTGAAAAATAAGGCCAAGAAAATTTTAAACACTTAAAAAACATATTATTGGCTCCTTACAGGCACAAATGTTTGAAATGAGGACAGGAAAATTAGTTCAAATCAAATAAAGATATAAAAATATAAAGAATAGCTCTAGTCAATCAACAATGTGAAATGTTCTTTTTGTCTTAATCTACAATCAATGATATTCTGCCATATGTCTTCAGACAGGAACAAAATGGAATTTATATAGTCTCTCAAGATTCAGTTTAAAATTGAGAAATGTAAATGTGAAAATCATGGCTTATTTTACCCTTCATTCACTGAATAGATATTTATTGAACACTTACAATAGCAAGTGCTTATTCCTTTCTTTATTTTAGGTCCAGCAAATGGAATAAGCCAAAGACTAATGAGCCAAGATTGTATAAAAGTAAAGTTTCTATATGTCAGTGTCATAACTCATTTTCCATTTAATTCCTATTGTTCCATATACAATGTATATTTATAATATCCAGTTCAGGTTTCTATATTTCTTCTACAAATAAAACCATTTTTATCATTTTTATGACAGTAAACTATACCTTAATTTTTTTCTCTTGCATTGACTTACGGATGCGTTCTCTTAGGGGTTTCACTGATGAATTATTCACTTGTGTGGGAGATCTAAGTCCAAAAAAAGCAAAAATGTATAAACAAGAGTAGCTTGTTAACTTGTTTTTCCCCCTCCCTTACCCAAAAGCAGTAATAAAATAAAAAGACAACTAAATCTAGTTGTTTATAATACTGCATAAAAGTGTCAGTATTACTATTGAGAGTTCTAAATATTAATAATTTGCTAAGTTAATTAATTCAGTCACTACATATTTGAGTTTCTAAAAAATGTGAGGCACTGTATAAGATATTATGAAGGATAGAAAGCAGATTCATTCACTGCCCTGAATTCAGGCATCATGAAGCCTAAGGAAGTAAGATATCCACACAACTAAAATTTAAAATAAAAAAGGACAAGTGCTGCAGCAGGGGAATTCAAGAGAAAAATACAGTTTAGAAATAGGACGGTCAAAGAAGGTACAATGGAGAAAGAAACACTGGAGCTTTGGAGCCAGACAAACCTGGATTCCTCAATAAATTCCTTTCTGGCTTAGCAGAGCCAGAGTCATAACCTCTTTAACTCAAAAGACTGTTATATAAGAATAAAGGAGAGTCTATTCTAAGAACCACTAGTTTATAACCTTACATTGACTTATATTCATATACTACATTGTCCTTAATTTTATCATTTCAATGCAGACCACGAAAAAAATTCACTTTACCATGAATTGGCACTTGTGTCCACAATGACAATTGCAAATGCTAAGGTAACTGTAAACAATTGAAATATTTTTGGCCACAATGGTTGAGAAAAATACTTCTTTAAAATGGATGTAGGGATTGATTTTGCTTAATAAAATTCTATAAACAAAATAACTTTCTCTTTAAAAAATGGTAGAATTGACTCTGAGAGAAAATTTAATCATTTATGTTTTACCTAAAAAGCAAACTTTGTTAAACAGAAGGTAAAAGAAGAAACACAAAGATTCATTTTCTTTCCACTTTTTTCGTAAATCATTGATAAAATAAGTTTTCGTTGTTAGGAAAATATTGAACACTTTTGAAGTAGAACATGGGTGAATTATATCATGCCCAAATATTAAAGCATAATCATTGAAAGCTGGTGAAGAGATTTAAATAACTTGGAGGACAACGTGTATGACAGACCATTGCAAAGTTTCTCTTTAAAGAGAAAAGAAAAATAGAAGAGAGCAACAAGTAGGATGACTTTATAAAGTTTCTCCACAATGTACTAAATAAAATTTAAAATTGCTGTTCTAAAACTTTACATGTTTCTATAAATGAATGTTTATTAATGCAAAATATCACCAAACCTACTCAATGTTTGACCTAGTTGTTGTTAAAACTGGAGCGTATCAATATCTTGCACAGAATACTACAACTACTTTGGTAAGTATTTTTCTTCATAAAAGGAAGAATCAACAGATGTCAATTCCAATGTAAGTCTGGTGTATATGCTCTCTCCTGTTCTCATGAAGAGCAGCACCATACTTGGAGGACAGACCTTAAGCTTTGGAGCATGACACTTTTGCTGCTTGCTAACTGTACTCTCTTAGGCAAATTACTTAATCTCTGTCTCTCAAGTGTCTAATTTTTTACTTATCAAGTGGGGCTATTACTGAAAGATGTCATGAGGGCTGAGATAATATAAATGAAAGCAGTCACCAAAGTTTTTGACTTACACAGCAAAGGAAATAAAATATTTCCAAAGCAAAACACAAGCACAAAAAAATAAAAACAAAAATACCGGTCATATTCTCACAAAATACTGTTTTTATAAAAACTTTCCCACATTCAAATGTTCAATCTCCCTTTAACTTTTGTTTTCTCTCTTCACACTTTCTGTAGTCTCCAAGTTTCTTACCATAATGTATTTCTTTTTAATCAATGAGGTGGGTTTTTTTTTTTAAAAATTCCCTTTATAGACGAGTTAACATTCACATACATATCACTTCCACATTACTTACCTAAAAAGTGTAAGAATAGAAGTTCCATTATGATGAATTGTGTTTTCATCATCATATAAAAGCTCTGCTTTGTTTTTGGTAGGCATACTGGCTGCTTCTTCATCCAAAAGAACTAGTAAAGTTTTCACAGTATCTCTGCCACAGTATGCAGTGCCATGGTTTATGGCATAAGATTTTGGCTAGAACAAAAAATACTATTAAATAAATGTAACAATCACCAAAGTTGGGGCAATCAGCCATTCTTTTCCATTTCTTGTGCTGCTGTTCTCCTCTTCCTGTTGTTTAAGTTATAAAAACTCAACCATGCGAAATGGCTTTAAGGCATGAAATATTTCTCCCTCAAGTCATACTAAATCAGTCTTATCACCTTCCCAAAGCACAAAAAAATACAGAAAATAGTATCATCACAGAAAGATATTGGTTCTGCTCAAATAATACCTAGCTTTAAGTCAGAAAATTTAGTAACTATTTAACTATGTGACCCTAGCTAGCCTCATGACTTAGCCTCCCTGTGTATTTTTTCTTTCTTACATACCAAAGAGAGATGGGGTTCTGTTGATGTGAATACCAACCCCGTAGATGGTTGTAAAGATCTACTCAAATGCAGGGCACCTGGGTAGCTTGGTTGGTTAGGCGTCTGCCTTAGGCTTGGGTCATGAACCCAGGGTCCTAGGATTGAGCCCCACATCAGGCTCCCTGCTTGGTGGGGAGTCTGCCTCTCCCTCTCCACTTGCCTCTCCCCCAGCTCATGCTCTCTCTCTCTCTCTCTCTCTCTCTCTCTAGTAAATAAATAAAGTCTTAAAAAAAATATCTATTCAAATGCAATAATTAAAAATGAGTTGACATTCATTCATTCAGTAATCCATTGATAAGTACATACCAAGTCCTAAGCACAGTGTTTGAAGCTAAGGTTACAAAGGTAAAAACCACTGCCTCAAGGAACCCACAGTCCCCTTGATAAAATAAGTAAATAACCAACAACTGCATTACAAAGTACTAAGTGTTATTTCTAACAGAATGTATACATGGTACAAGAGGAGCACACAAAGGTAGTGATCAATTTACTCTAAAATCAAGGATGGCTTCATGGAGGAGGAGACACATGGGGTGGGAGGGAACATGGCATTTTAAGGACCAGGTTAACATGATATGGCTGAAGAACAGGGTAACAGAGAGGGAGTGATGTGAGATGAACCTGGGAAAGCTCTATAAATCTGGCCAAGAAATTATAAATCAGTCTATTATGGAGTTAAAGTCTTTTGCTTTATTAATCAAGAACATAAATGATCCTATTTAGATTATTAAAAAATGATGGCAATGCATAAAATATATTCCAGGGTAAGAATGTTATTAAGTCTGGAGACAGGACCACAAATTAAGAGACTGTAATAGTCCAGCTTGGAAATGAAGAAGGTAGTCGCAGTGAACTAAAATAGTAACAGTGCAGATAAAGAAAAAGCAGGTTAAAAGAGGAGAGCTAGAAAAACTTCGTGACTAGACAGAGTAAGGGAAAATAGATGATAATATAATATTATATGCAGACACCTGTAAGCACAAACTTTGAAGATATCTCTAGCTGGGTTTGATACCAACTTACCAGTAGTATGTACTGTATAATTCGGGGAAAGTTCCTTAACCTCACTGTGCTTCAGTTAAATCACTGGTAAAATAAGGGTAATGATAGAATGATAGTGCCCAACCCATACAGTATGTTAGACACTGCACCTAAATATCGAAGTTTCTAAAACGTCTGTTGTAGCTGTGCCACTTTCCCCGGCTGTCACCAGCATGGTCTTAGCCTCCTTTCTCTACCAGGCTGACCAAACTGTACTGTGGAGCTACACTAGAATTTTAACAAACTGCTTATCACAATAATGATTGCTACCATATTATATGCGCTTATCACAATAGTAATGGCTTATCACAATATATGTGCTTAACATACACCTTTCATCAGTACCAGAGAAAAAGTCCATATTGTTTAATATTAACTCACTGAGAATTATTGGATAGTATTTTTCAAAGATTTCTGATTTGGTTGAAAACGTAAAATTAAGAACCAGGTTGTCTGTATCTTTATTTCTTGTGACAGGAAATGGCAGAGACTGGGGCTCTTAATTACCTGAGGTGTGACAGTTTCTGATTTAGACTTATAGTAATAACCTGGTTGTCATTTGAGCCAGCTAGTCACAGGAAGCATTAACACACATGAAACACATGGGGCAACAACCCAGAATCTCCCCTATGTCCCACCTTCCAATTAATCTGAAAACATGCATTGTTACAGAAAAATAACTAAAAATCATTCCCAAGGCTGTGAAAATAGATGAATAATAGATGTATAATGATAAATAAAATAGATGTATAATAATAATAGATGAATAATAAAATATAAGCAAAAGTCTTTCTTCATACACTGATTATCACAATCACACCTAAGGAAAAGGGGCTTTTGTTGCTTGAATTAACCTGCAACAAATGGATTATAATATATACCGCCAAATTCTTTTTTAGAGCTGGAAAGATGGTAGCCAATTTCTGCTATAATACTATAGTTATTGTATTGTACAATGTTTGAACAAAAAAAAAAAGGGAGAGGTAAACATTCTAGGAATATATAGTTAAAAGATTTCTAAGTATAGGAGAAATTCCTAATGTTTGCAGTAGGCTGGTAATAGAGGTAGAAAACAACAGATAATAAAGATGAAAAAATTCTATTAAAGAAAAATAAACTGAATAGAAACCATTTCTGTGGCTGTTCTACAGAATACCTAGTACTGGGGCCAGAACCAGAGAAACCTTGCTCTTATTTTATATTTGAGTAAGTGGCAAAAAATAATGGTTTCATAGGAAAAATTATTGAAAAATATTTTAAGACACTTTAATAACCATCAAGAATTATAAATTTCGAGTGCTACAAGGGATACTGCAGATTATCCAACATGCTACTTTAACAAATACAATTTGGCCCAAAGATGTTATGATTCATTTCAAGTCAAACATAATCCTATATAATCCTATTGAGACACTTAAATTTTCAGTATCTCATAACACAGGAAAAACATTCTTCTGACTTAAGTAGCAATAGTAAAACATTTCTATAACAAGTAGAAGCGATAATGTTTTCTATAGAAGTATAATGGAAAATAAAAATCTCATTACCCGTGCAGGACTGATGTCAGTGGTACTAACAGCTACATCTCCTTGTTGAGAATTGATAATATTTTTAATCCTCAAATCCAAATCCCGAGTGACTTCCTCTACTGCTTTACAAAAAGGATCCCTGCTGTTCTGGCCTTTAATCAGCTGCATCTTTATCACTGAGAGTATCCGACTCCCTGCAGTGCTGAAAATAGAAATAAGATCACCTTTATAATAGTATTAGAAATGACAATATGCTTATAAGCTTGAAAATAAACTTCTCAAAGTTAATCAACACTTTTCAAAAAATATGACTTTGATCTTATAAATCAAACTAACATATTTAAGAAAATAATGAGAACCATGAGCAACAAAATTAAAAAGTTTTTCTTAAAGCAAGTCATTTCAACAAAGTTACTTCTTCCCTGATTTGAAAGCTGAAGGGAAATATTTTAGTTATAGATGATACATAGTAAGTTTCAGGGGCAGTTATACACACATAATATACTTAAAATATGTACCTTTAGATACAAGGTAACAGAAACGCTACCCCTCATTGAATACCTAGAATCCTACATTACTTTAATCTTAAAATCATTTCCATAAGTATTATTATCCTTAAATCACAGATGAGAAAATTGAGTCTCAAAAAGGTTAAATAGCTTGTCCAAGAACACGAAGTGTTCTGGGCTAGGAAGGAGGTGGTGAGGACTGACCTGAAACATGATACTGCATTCTGATATGAGAACTGTTACTATGTGGAAGGGGAAATTAAGCTAGTTAATATTGATCTAAAGCAAACCAAAGACTGGACCAACTATGTCCAACAGACAAGTGTTTTAAAAAACCTGAGATCAATTATTTCTTTACACTAAGCCTGAACCTGAATGAATTTAGGTTGCAGTTCCTGCTCTAGAAGGCTGACCTAAAAAAATGTGAGAAATATATAGGAAGAAGGATTTTGATCTATTGCAAGGAAGAAATTAGAGGTATCCAACAAAAGAAGAGGGCTCTTTTTTAAAGTCAGAAGATCTCCATCCCTAGAGGTATCCCTGGAAAGGCTGTGCAGTGCTGAATGAGAAGGTGATATGGCCTGGCTGTAAGGTCAGACTGCCTGAGCACAAAATAACAGTTCCCCATCCCTCGCCTGCCCCACCTTCTACCTTGAGTATGCTATTTAACTTTTCTGTGACTTTTATAGTGGCATAAAGGAAATTATGAATTAGTTTTTATCCACATTGCCTTATTACCAGGTTTTATGTTTTGGAGAAGAAGCCAGGTTTCCTAACAAACACTGGAAATATGATTGTTCACATTCAAATAGTTGTTCCAAATAGAGAAGGAAAGTTAGAAGAATTGCAGAAACACTTAATGTACGATTAGACCAGTGTCTCCCAAATTTACCTGATCATCAGAATCATATTCAGCATTTGTTTAAAATATCAACTCCAGATCCCACCCTGTTGAATCACAAACTGCAGAGAAGGGTACTGAACAACTGCTCTGTTTTAAAAATACCACAGGTGATTCTGACAACTACACAAGCTTGAGAAACATTTCATTAAAAGAAAGAAAGAAGAAGAAAGAAAGAAAGAAAGAAAGAAAGAAAGAAAAAGAAAGAAAGGGAAAGAAACTTAAGGAGACTCCCATATGTTATCAACTCTAAATACAGCTGCTTTAGCCTTTCCTAACTCTTACTAAATTCTCAACTGACCAACCTTGACCCATAGGTAGGGACATCTCTATGCCCCTATTCAGCAGGAAGAAGCTACAGAAGATGAGACCTTCTGCCTTCAACAACCTTAAAGATTTAAGGGTCAAAGTTGTTCAAGGGGGGGAAATGATGAGGGAAACAGAGTCAAGAGAAATGTAGCTTAAATTAAATCTCCTTACAGCTTGCAGCCCACTGATACCTGACACATGCAGAGTGTGACCTTCCTCAAGGAACTCATGGCCACCTTAGTGCCTTTATGTTTTATCAAAGACTAAAAGTAACCTTATCTTAACAGCAGCTAGCCCCTCAAAGTCCTAAAAGGCTTCCTTCCAAATTCCTTAGAGATTTGCACTGTCCCTAACCACCACTAATTAAAAAATATATAATCAGTCACTCCTCACAATCCCAGGGCAGTTCTTTCTGCCCATGGGTCCTGTCCCCATTCTATAATAAAATCACCTTTTTGCACCAAACCAAAAAAAAAGGAAAGAAAGAAAGAAAGAAAGAAAGAAAGAAAGAAAGCAAGCAAGCAAGCAAGCTCCTTGAGAAAGGAACAATATATTTACTAATCTTTATACTACCAGTTTATACTTGGCACACAGAAGAAAGGATTGCTACGTTTGTTGAATAAATGACCACTATCACAGGCAACCATCTAAAGTTTTTAATAGTAAGACAAAAGATATATATTTTACTATTACTATATTATTATTTGCAATACAAAAGTACTTAGGGGTTTTCCACTTACACTATGGCAGACTAAATAAATACTCTGAGGGAATATCTCACCAAGTTTGGCAGCAATAGGGGGAAATCTCTAATCTCTCCCCAAAAAAGGAAAAAACAAGAGCTGGAGTGGAAAGCTGGGAGCTGTTAAGTGGGAGGCAAGCAGAATGTATGGGTTTTCCTGAAGACAAAAATCTCTGATAGCACTTTATCAGGACACAAAGCCCCACGTGGATGAGGGCAAGCAGAGAATTTCACCTTGAGTCTGAACCTTCTGACGGGGAAGGAACTACTATGACTTTTATTAGATTTATTTTATGTATTTTATATTCTTGAAGCTTTTTTTAAATTTCTATTTGGTGATGGTATAGAAATACAATTGCTTGTTGTTTATTGACCTTGTGTCCAGCAACACTATTAAACACTATTATTAATATTAAAAATTTGCCTTTACATTCCTGGAGTTTTCTACACATACAATCATATATCATCAAACAGAATTTTATTTTTTCCTTTTCAATTGTTACATCTCCTATTTCTTTTTCTTGCCTTACTACACTGAATAGAACATCTGATATTGTGCTGAAAAGAAATGATAAGAGTAGGAACTCTTATCTTGTTTTATCTTAAGTAGAATGCTAAAACACTTTACCATTAAGTACAGAAACCCTTTATCAGGTTAAAGCCCTTATTCTTAGTCCATTTTACACAGAGTGGGCAGCCCTGTAGAGTGGGAATGTTCCAATAGACTCTTCACCTTGGATAGTCCTTGGGCTTTGTCCTTGCACTCAGACTTAGTGGCTCTAAGAACAGACCTTCCAAATCACCAAATACTCTCAAAATAAAAACTCATTTCCCTTCTTGACTTCCCTCTCTGGCTTTCTTCCCTCCCCTAGTTTTTGGCCTGTATTTTCACTACATATGCCTACTCATCAATGCATTCAAGAAGTATTTTAAAAATATGCTATCCAGCATTATTAACTATTCTCAGTGGAAGGGTCAGCCAGGGGACCTAATCTGCCATATATGTGTAATCAGAAGTCTGAGTAAACTCTAAGAATTCTTTTATATATATATAGACACTTTCTTTTCAATGTTTTTTTCCCTTGATTTTCAATCAAAAGCACAGAAAGTGATTGGATGAAATGAAGCCAGAATGAAAACACAACACTATGTGCTTTTTCTGCAAAGTAATCTAATGGAAGAGTTTTGGAAAAGATTCAAAAGGATAATAAAATATGAAAGAGTGTTATAATGTCAATTACAAGAACAAAAAAAAATGCTTTCAATGATATTAGGTAAAAGTCACCTTTGCCTCCTTTTCTCATTCCTTCTATAAGAACAATTACACTAAATATTAAAGATGATATGATTCCCTGACTGAATTATATTAGGAAGAAATTTAAAAGATTTGTGTTTCAGATAATTGCCAAGCTCAATGTTTTGACCCTTGGCAAAATACCTCACGCACCAGCGCTACGACTAGTCTATTGCTATACATTCTCTACTAGAGGCAAATACTAGCTCTTCAAATATCTGCTCAGCAACATGGTGGCATAATCTAGACTCTTGCTTCTAGAACCTGGAATCTCTGAAGTTTTAACTCAAATGACACTAGGACATTTGTGCTAGACCCTGGCATACAATGAATAAAATATTTTTAAGAGGTCACAACTGATCGTGTGAGAAAGTGAGATACTGAAGGTATAGAGGGAGTTTGAGTGGGTGGGTAAGGGAAAAAGAGTTATTCAGGAAGGCATCCCAGAAGATACATTATGAGTACCCTGGATAAACATTTATAGAAACATTTTTAGGCGAAAAAAGAGGTAAACTGCAGCTCCTGACTACCAAATGTATCACATTAGATCTCTGGGGCAGAAAGAGAAAAATAGAGCTAGTGATGAAAACATAATTAAATCCCCAAGCCTGGGGGAACCTGGGTGGCTCAGTTGGTTAAGCGTCTGCCTTCAGTTCAGGTCATGATCCCGGCATCCTGGGATTGAGTCCCCAATCAGGCTCCCACTCAGTGGGGAGTCTGCTTTTCCCTCTCCCTCTGCATCTCCCCCTGCTTGTGCTCTCTCTCTCTTTTTTTCTCTCTCTCTCTGCCAAATAAATAAATAAATAATTTTTAAAAAAAAAAATGCCCAAGCTTGTATTAAAGCGTAGTGACCTTGAAAAAGAGCAATAAGCAATAATACAAATGATTGGTAATACTTTAGTGTAATTATTGAATATCTTTACTATATGGATTGGCTTTCCCCTACCATCTTCAAGAATTAGATAACTATTTGCTAAAACATATCTTTAAAAAATTAAGTATAATTAAAAGTGCTCCATAAGATATATCAAAAATGCTTCTAGAATATTTTTTTAAAGATTTATTTATTTATTTGAGAGGGAGAGAGAGAGAGCACACATGGAGGAAGAGGGAGAAGCAAACTCCCTGCTGAGCAGGGAGCCTGATGCAGGACTCGATCCCAGGACACAGGGATCATGACCTGAGCCAAATGCAGACGCTTAACCTACTGAGCCACCCAGGCACCCCTAGAATATTTTTAAATGAGAAAAATGTAACAGTAAGATTTTGGACTGGATAATTTCAACTAGATTTAACATTCTATAAATGTATAATATTTAGTCCAATAAATATAATTCAAATGTACATTAAAAAGTTGTTTTCATAAACTTGAAATACATAATTTTAAACATTTGAACAACAGAGAACTAACTAATTTATGTAACCTGAAACCCCTAATTTAAGATATTTTTCAGGAAAGTATAGTATGCATTTTATGGTGGCACCTACTGGCAAAATGTAGAAATACAACAAAATTACAGCTAGGATGGCTTGATGAAAGTTGGCAGTGGGGAGGAAATGTGAGAATCATTTCTTTCATTTCTTCCCTATCTATTCCCCATCTTCCTTTTGATTCAAAGATTATTGTGATTCCCTACCACTTCCACCCTATTATAGTCAGTTATAAGAGTTAAACACATTTTTATCTCTAAGTGTTAAGGTTGAGAGACAGAGGCCAGAGCAAGATACAGGCAGGACTTAGAGCACATAGGATTTCTATATCATACTGAGGCTTCTGGGAGTCTTATCCTGTACCTAATATGAAATCACTGAAGGATTTTAATCACGGGAGTAACATCTGCTGTTTTAGAAAGACCACTGGCAGCAGTAAGGAAAACAGGATGGGGCAACTCAAGATTGGAGGCAGAAAGGACGACTCAGAGAGAAGTGAAGTCCAAGCAAGAAAGGATAAAAGTCTGAAAACAGACTTCCCATTAAAAAATGGAAAAAAGATTGTAGCTATAGGAATAGAGATGAGAACAAAGAATATCAAAAATGTTAAGAAGAATTCATGGATCTTGGTAACTGAAGGGACAGAGAAAGGAGAAAAAGGAGTTTAGGATATGCTCCAGATTTCTAGTTAGGTAGCTGGAGGAAGAGAGGCTTCATCAAGCTGGGCACTTCAGGAGGAGAAGCAGGTTTACAGGAATCTAAGTCTATTATCTCTTCCTAGATGCCTCTAAAATGTACTTCTATCCTGTAGATAATTTATCCCAACCAGAAATTCCTCCGTAATTATAACAAACTACATTGAATTGAATATATGCATTTTTATCTGCTCCCTCCTAAAACTGCACTAAAAATGACAAAAAGGCAAGTGTTTTAAAATCCACAAAGAAAGAGAATGTTAGAGGAGACAATAACAGATCACAGCAGAGACATATAATGAAAGCATGGGAAAATGAAAAGCAGATGGACATGTGGTAGCTGACTACCCAGAACAGAGAAAGCTAAAACATAAGTAACTGCTAAAAGAGACACCAGTAAGAAGCAACCCCAGAAATTCTCAGAAATCGAATTCAATACTGAAGGCTACAATAAAGACAGGGTTGCCAACGAGAAAGCTGGTTGACAGTCTACATCAGAAACACTTAGACACTTAAATCTCCTCTCCTATTCTGAGCAGTCAGGCCAGTTCACTTCTCTCCCCTCAGCATGGAAAGCAGGATTACTCTGAAGAAACTAAGCCAGATGGTCTCTGGACCTCGAGGTAACAGGGACTGAAAACAGACTGATTAAGTAAAAGTCTACATACTGGAACTGGGAGACTCAGCATCAACCCCTACCCTACCTCAAATTCCAGAATATTACTAGCTAGATTTACAGCTTTCTGAAAGGGACTAAAGGATGCCACTCTGGAAATTTTGGGGTAAGTCCCAAAGAAAAGACCTATCATTACTGACATTTGGAGAATCCCCAACAAAAGAGCCAAATGGCTACCATGCTATAAAGAAATCCACTGTATAGAGCTACTAATCAGCTTTCTATGGTCTCATTCTTAAATAAGATAAAAGGACTGTTCAGAATCACCACACATTTTAGAAATACCTCTAACATAAGAGGGCAAAACAAACAAAAACATTCAACTTAGATAAAACAAAGACCATCCAGGAAGCAGATAAAAATAATCTTAAATAATTTTAAATAAATGAAACATGATATAAGATCATATACAACCAAATGTGAGAATATGATAAAGATATTTGCCTATTTTTCTCAGAAAGCCATGTGAGTAAAATAAGGGGTTTACCAATTAAAAATAAAGTCACAAGATCCAAAAAACAAGGCAGAGGCAAAGAAAATTCACAAAGTAATGAAGCTTCACCATTACCACTGTGAAACAGGCTTAACAAGCAAAAGTACATACTCAATGAAGAAGATAGAGGACTCTCCAGAAGGAATGTCTTCAAGGGCAAAAACCAGAACTGACAGATTATCTAATAATAAGAATATGTATGGTTTTATTGGAAAGCTCAAAAAAGAATCAATGATAAATATATAAGAAGTAAAAGAAAAAAGTAGATAATTATTAAATCTAGGGAAAAAAACAAAAATTTGTATAAGAAAGGAAGTATAATCACAGCATATCACATAACTTAGGTGTAGGCAGTATTTACAGAGTCATAATAATATAAATTCTAAAATATAACTTAACCTGAAATTGTGGTATAACCATATTAGAAGGATGAAAGAGAAGTTCTGTGTGTGTAACAAGATGGGGAAGACAGACAAGGGAGGCTGGGAGGTTGGTGAATGAGTAGCAAATCACCATTTTCCAGGGTAGGAAGTTAATAATGTCTCAAATGAAAAAAATCAACAAATATCTGCATTAAAATTTCATTTAAATGAGGTAAATATAAAAACAAACACACAAAAAAATGTAAAGACCATCTGTGGAGGACTTTTTTACTATTTGACTTCAACAGAATATACCTATATTTGCTTTGCTATTAAGGAGGGCGTGTGTTGTGATGTGCCCTGGGTGTTATACATAACTAATGAATCATTGAACACTACATCAAAAACTAATGATGTACTATACAGTGGGATAATAAAAATAAACAAAAATTTATAAATAATAAAAATAAATAAAATAAAATAATAAAATAATAAAAATAATAAAAAAATAAAAATTTTTAAAAATTATCTGCTATCTCAGAAGAAACAGCCAGCCAATACATTATTTGAAAGTTCAGAAGATGTCACTGATATTGGCTATAAGACATATTCAACCCTCTTCCAAATTTACTTTCTTGTAATGGATATCCATAAAGACAGAAGGATGCAATTCAGAATAAAATCCTGAGAAACAAATTCTTCTTGGAATCTTAAAATGAAAAGAGGTTTCATGAAATAAGATATAGTGATTAAGAGAATGGGTTCCAGGGTCATAACTGAGTTCAGATCCCAGCTCTGCTACTTAAATAACAATGTGACTGAGGTAAATCACTTAGTCCCAGAACTTCAGTTTCTTACGCTCTAAATTGTGTATTTATACGGTACCTATAATGTAAGGTTGTTGTAAAAATCAAATGATAATCCCCATAAAGAGCCTGACCCATAAAAAGTGTTCAGTAAATACCAGCTGTTTGGTATGCCCAAATTGAGTGATCTACCTTGATTGCTAATATATACAGCCCACTTCTGCACCAAAATTAATCACAAAATTACTAATCATCCAATATGTATATATTATAAATGGAAGTCTGTCAGATAAGAAAGAATCTCTCACTTCCAATATCATATAAAAACAAATTCCAGATGAACCAATGATTTACACCCAAGAAAATGGAAAAAAAATAGCAGGAAGTAGAATATAGATTTTATCATATCTTTGTCAATTTCCTCATTCTTGATATAGATTTCCTTTAGTGCTAAATACAAATTTTAAAGAAATTACCTATTCAGTCATGCCCAGTCCTCCAAAACTATTTCTTCCAGATAAAGACAAATAGCCCTCTTCTCTAGTCAAATTTCATATGAACATGCCATTTGACTTTGGCAAAAATTTTAGAATCAAAGATAGGCAGAAATTTAGGGGAAAAGGTCATGAGATTATAATTTATTCATCTAGATATTTTGTTTCTTTTCCCTACTATTGATGCTTAGTCATTTCAACAGCTCATATATTCACATCTACATTTGATTCTGTAAAGTTTTAAAGACAGGTTAATAACACACATTTGTAATTTATGAAAAGTCATTACCTTGGATTTGGTATTTCTCCAAGAATCTCATCTAATTTGTCAACGAAGTTAATAAAATTAGACAGTCCTTTTATATGTGCCCTTAAAGGATCAGATGGTGATGGTGCATATCCCTTCCCTCCAAGCTCTAGTGTTCTAATAAATGATGTGGCCACCTATGAATTAAAATAAATGATTTAGTTATGTTTAATGATTTAGTAAGTTAAAAATAAAACTTTATGAAGCTGGGTATATTTATATTATTTCTGGGTATACAGGTAAAGTAAGCACTTTTTATGATTCATGTCACTTTGATTCAGAAGCAAATAATTAAAGAAAGAAGATGCCATGCAAAATTCATGCCAACAAGGGTAATGGCAATGCAAGTGGAAACTGAGGAGCCAAGTCAGGTGACAAACTAAGGGCATAAGAATATATTCATAAGAGTACATCACTGACTATAAAATATTAGTGTATGAATATATTCTCCTATCAATTGAACTGGAATTTTTAATATGAAACAAAGGGGTTTTTCAGTGTCACTGTGTTGATTTATTCAAGGGTGGGCAATTAATTCAACTCTTCCAAGCTTTATCGTCTTTATTTATAAGCTCAACATTTAGACTAAATAAGCACAAAGCCCTATCTAGCTTTCACATTTTAGGATTATTTGATCATGTGTAGTTCAAAAGGCCTTGCCTTACAGTGATAAAAATACATATAGGATGGCTACACTTACGAGCATCTCCATCAAAGATGAAATATTCTAAAGTGTATCCTAAAACAAATTCTATGAAATTTCAGTAATTTGGAAGAAACTTCCAAGGTTAAATAACTTAGGAAACAGCAGATTAAGTAACAAGGTTAATTTAAGCAGATTTCTTAAATTTCTTAAATGGTAGGACTTCTCAGAGCTTCTGATATACAAATATTCATTACCTATATCCAATAAAGGTAGACACTATTTCCAAACTGTTTGGAAACATTTATTCAAGAAGCATTTAACAAGGTCTTTTGCCTTTGTAAATATTTATTCAAGGAGAATTGAACAGAGACAGCACTCTATAGAACACATGTAGGAAAACACTGCTTTAGAGAAATTTTCCCTTGTCAAATTTGAAGAATATGGTAATAAATAAAAATACCATAGATTTTCAAATACAAAGGAAGAACATGTATTCATGTTGTTTTATCATAATTACAAGAATTCTATATTAAGGTACATTTATCCACTGTTCATAAGTCTTTAAAACATATTGAAAATGTAACATGTTCATACCAAAAAGATAGACATCTTTTTCTCTTGAGCAGCATGTTTCAAATCAGTGAAGGCTTCTCTTCCAAGTCCTCTATCAGGAATATTGAGAACATGAGCCAGAGCCAGATCATTCTTTGAATTCACTAGCAGGCTTAAATATGAGTAGATAATTTTTCTTGCTAGTAACTGCACCTGTACAATAAAATATTATTTTCTTTATTGAAGTTGTTCTAAGTCGATAATCCTTTCTTCATACGCAGTAAAAATACTTATGACCATTCAATAACAATATCTCACTCAAATATATGGGAAAAGAGAGAACTGCCATACAACAAAAGATTGAGTTGGACAATTAACATATCCCTGCTCATGAAACAAATGTGCCACTAGTAAGTATCTATGAGCAAATACCAACTATCATAATTGTTGAAAAATACCTCTTAGAAAATGATATAAAAGATAAAGTCCAAAGTTTGCATTCCTAATAAGGCTGGATCTCATTCCCTTGCACACATTTGTCACTAAATAACAAGGAGTAATGCAGCCCCCTAAAGCTTAGGGAATGGGCCAACTGGCACTATTTGGTCCTAGACCTATGCAGGGCTGGAGATAAGGGCTAAAGTTAAATAATTAAATTTCGGGGTAATTATTAGATACTGACTTTGACAATACCAAATAACCAAGTAAGTATTACAATGAAGAGATTCAAGCAAATGTTAAGAAAATAATAACAAGTAGTTGATGTTGACATTAACTGGACTAAAACAGAGTTATAGACTGTTCAAACACAAGATAAATAATATTTGTGAGAATTTAATATGGGCATCTGTTCTTTCATATATACTGTACTTGTCTTTTATAGTCAAGGGCATTTTATAAACCAGGGCATTAATGATCTCCTTCTTAAAATTACCTACTTACAGCTATTTAAGGTCTTACAGCTTCTAGTACTGGGGAAGTGATAGTGTGAACTCCCACAGGTACCTATAAAATATTAGTAAAATTTCAAAAATGTAACTACACTGGAAAGCATACACAAAGCAGATCCAAGGGGCGCTTGAGTGGCTCAGTTGGGTTAAGTGACTGCCTTTGGCTCAGGTCATGATCCCAGAGTCCCGGGACTGAGTCCCGTATCGGGCTCCCTGCTCAGTGGGGAGTCTGCTTCTCCCTCTGACCCTACACCCTCCTGTGCCCCCTCTCTCATTCTCCCTCTCAAATAAATAAAATAAAATCTTAAAAAAAAAGCAGACCCAAGCTAGAGAAGAATTTAATTTTAAAAGAACTGCAACAAGAAGGGTTAAGAATAGCAAGTTTGTGGTTATTCAAGGTCCTAAATTTCGTGTAATAGTGGAGAAGTGAGTGATCATGTGAACCTCAGATAACAAACATAAAATAGTAAGTAAGAAGTTTTAAATACTATTTAAAGACACTTGAAAGTATCCAGAAGGTAGACGGGAGCTGGAGGAATATTTAATTTTAGCAGAACTGCAGCAAGAAGGGAATGAATTAGAGGCGCATGGGTGGTTCAGTCAATTGAGCATCCACCTTTTGACTGCAACGCAGTTCGTGATCTCAGGGTCATGAGTTCAAGCCCCACTTTGGGCTCCATGCTGGGCATGGAGCCTACTTTAAAAAAAAAAAGTATGAATTGTTTGTGGTTTACTGACCCAACTTTTATGACTATGGCTGTAGCAGATAGAAGTAACTATAATGGTGCCCTCAGAATCCAGGGCCGGGAAAGCGGCTAGAAATTTAAAGGGGGAAATCTTGGAAATAACTGAGAACATAAAGAGCCATAATCCATAGCTGACAGTGAAACTACCCAAGCATGGGGGAGACTCCAGCGAGGCCCATAAAAAAGCAGGCAGAAATCGAAAAAAATATATTCAAGAAAGATTGAGCTATGAAGAACCAGAGCTATGAGTTGGAAGGTTTGCTAAAATGAGTGCATTTCATAAATGTGTGTAGCTTAAGTCGCAGAAAGCTGAAGCTGGACAGGCTTGAAGTCTTAAGTGTATAGAGCCAAAACTTGTCAGAACAACTGGAAAATACAGGAAAATCCCTAGGAAAAAAGAATCCACAGAAAGAATGAGCTCCATACTTTCCCAAATCCTTGGCTTACTGCCACATTTGGCAGGCAGAAGAAAGATCTACAAAAGCCAACCTAAAAAAAAACAGCAAAGGGAAACCATAAGAATAGATATCCAAAAAGCTGTATACTAAGGAGACAAAATATGAAGTTGAAATCCAGGCAAGAAAACTGCCTACTAGAAAATTCAATTGTCTTCAGAAGAACATGACAAAACCCAGAATCACTATAAAATATTATCTTTAATGTCCAGTTTTCATCTAAAAATTACTAGACAGTTCAAAAAAAAAAAAGAAAAAAAATGTGTGACCCCCCCCCTTCTCAGGATAAAAAGCAGTCAATAAAAATTAACACCAAGTGGACCTAGATGTTAGATTTAGCAGACAAAACACTCAGGTCGCTGCTATAAATATATTCAAAGAACTCAAACAAAAAAATGTTCAATGAATTAAAAAAGTGTTATCAATGAATTAATAGGGAAAATGACAACAGAAAAGTGGACACTACAAAGAAAGTAAATTCTAGAAATGAAAGTACAATGACCAAAACAAAATTTGCTAGGTGGGCTCAACAACAACTTGGAGAAAGTGGAAGAAAGTATAAGTGAACTTGCACATATATAAATAGAAACTACCAAACCAGAAAAACAAAAGAAGAAAAAAAGAAAGAAAAATAAAACCAAAGAGCTCTGTGGGACATGTACTTAGAATCCCTGCAGAAGAGTGAAAGAAGCAGAAAAAAGTATTTCATGAAATTATGGCCAAAAACATCCCAAATTTGGTGGAAAACATTAATTTATAGATCTAAGAAACCACTCAAATAGGAAAAACACAAAGAATATTATTCCTGTATTATAATTAAACTCTGACAGCCAAAGATGAGAAAAAATCTTGAGAGTGACCACAACAAAACAAAATATTACATACTAAGGAAAAATGATAAAATTAATAATAGATCATCAAAAAATAAGCCAGAAGATCCTGGAACAACATATTAAATATGCTGGAAAATTATCTTAAATATTACTGTACAACAAAATAATATAGCATTTATGAAGGGACACTCATATCAATGAAACAGAACAGAGTCCACAAATACGGCCATTTGATTTTTGACATAGGTGCAAAAGAAACAATGGAGAAAGGACAGTCTTTTCAATAGTTGGTATGAGAGCAATTGGTCAGCCATATGGGAAACAAATGAAACTCACCGAAACCTCACACTTTTTTCTTTTTTGAAAGATTTTACTTACATATTTGAGAGAGAGAGAGAGCGAGAGAGAGACAGTGAGCACGAGTCGGGGGAGGGGCAGAGGGACATGCAGACTCCCTGCTGAGCGGAGAGCCCAACGTGGGACTCAATCCCAGAACCCTGAGATAGTGACCCAAGCTAAAGTCAGTCACTTAACTGACTGAGCCACCCAGGTGCCCCAACCTCACACTTTTTATAAAAATTAACTCAAAGTGGATCATAAGTCTAAATGTACAATATATAAAACTGTAAAACTTCAAGAAGAAAACATAAGAAAAAATCTTTATGACTTGGAATTAGGCAAAGTTATTACATGTGACACCAAAATCACAATCTATAATAGGAAAAAAGTGACAAATTGGATTTCATCAAAATTAAATTATTTTTATGGAATTCTCACCTTCTCAACTACTTCCACCCCATCTTCTTGCTCTGGAATCTTGTTTGTATCTAATTCTTAAATGTCACTCCCATGCTATTTACCTGAAATCCTCTTCTTGCCTATTCCCTTAGAAAAATGAACACTACATCAAAAACTAATGATGTACTATATGCTGGCTAAATGAATATAATAATAAAAAAATAAATTTTAAAAATTTTAAAGAGAAAAAAAAGAAAAATGGACTCCACAAATTCTAAACTCAATTCACTCTCCAAACATGAAATTCATTAAGTCCTTCAGTGACTGACAACTTAGCTACAGACCCCATAATTTATCATCTATAAACTCTAAGAAAATATTTTCCTAATTAAAATTAAAATGCTTTCATATTCTGTTTAATCACATTTTAAATTAGAAAGCACAAAAGAGAGCTTTAAAAGGTAGCAAAAAAAATTACAAATTATTAGGAAGTCCCTGAGACAATTAAGGAAGTCTCAAGTTCATAGACATATTAAAAGCACTTTTAAAGGTAACATGCTTTTGGATTATTTAAATTTCTTATGAAAAACAATTCTTGAAACATGGGAGGCAGTCAGGATCAATTTAAAAAAACTTTATTGGACAGGAAAAGGTTACCTTAAATATGGACTTGACATTTAAGCAAAATTGATTTAAGAAAAAAAGCTTAAATATTATCCCTCTAAAAATTTTTTCTTAAGTACTAAAATATGAGACAGATGTTACCTTTGCAGAGAGGCTCCCTGATTTCCCAGTACAGAACAGCAATTCATGTACTCCCTTTCTTAGCACCCTGTTCTACCTATGCATATCAGTCAATTATAATACCCTGCATAGGTCTTAATGGTTCCTAAATGATGTATCCTTAGGGCCTAAAAGAATGACTGGCATTATAGTAGGTAATCAATCCATTTTTGTTAATAGGTTCTCAATTAGTTTTTGTTCAATGATAAATGAAAAAAACTTAATACATGTATTTGGCCCTTTTAGAAATTTCAAAATGAAAACAACTGATAAAAACTTACTTGGGATCAAATAAGCCCTCACATATTTGTATTACATTGCCTTAAAAAGAAAATTACTTTAAGGTACAACTAAATTAAAATCGTCTCTAAGATCCACCCTAAAATTTTATAACTTAAGACATAATATAGTTTTCTGCTTAGACTTCAAGTGTCCTTTTATCTTTACTTTATAAATCATAACACTTCATGTGAATCTATAATACAAAAGTTTCCATTTTAACTTCACAATACAATAGTCTAAAACATATGAATCTCCTCTTTATCTTATCCCTTCACATTTCAAAAAAGTAACACATTTTGTGAAAAATCAAAGGAGAGGGAAAAAAATGACATTCACATTGCAATCAGAAACTTTTTTACTCTTTCAACATTTAATTTCATTCAATTCCTGTATCACTGTGCTTCTGCTGTCCAAAAATAATGAGAATTTACCAAATGTATATATCTGATCCTTACTGGGTACAAACCAGGGCTTAAACCCCCACATCTACAACTTGCTCTCTAAGGCTAGCAAATTCCGCCCTTCTGATCTGTGATGCTAGACAAACATCAGGGAAAAACATCTTGGAGTCCTCACAGTTAGAGTGTTTCTTTTAACTCATGGCTGCAATTGGAAATCTATCTCTATCATTATGGTCATATAACATGGCAGTTATGGTTTCCCTGCTCCTGTATTTGCAAGTGTGTTTTAAAGAGGCTCTCTGGAAAAGCATTCCACATAAATACAGTTATGATGTCCAGAAGCAAGGACCTAAATTGAAAAAATCCACAAGATTGAAGTTTTTACCAAGATACCAAAAATAAAGATAATGTTCTGTTTATTTATTTAATACACTGATTCAATCCATGCCACAAAGTATTTGCAATGTTTGTTTAGAAGTTGAACAATTTTATTTAAGCTTTCTGGCAACTCCAAGTTCCTTTTCCTATCCCTTAATTATTACTGAAATGCAGATATTCAATCTCAATTTGAAGAAAGTCAGTTTTTCTAGATTGAGATTAATAATTTATACAGGTTTTCTTTTTTTACTTTCTTTGCCAAACACATAAATTCTTACATATAATGACCAAAAAAAAAAAAAAAGAGTTGGCCTAGAACTAATATACCAGTAGAATTTTTTATTTAACTGACGATTTTTTTTTAAAGATTTTATTTAGTCATTTGACAAAGAAAGACACAGCAAGAGAGGGAACACAAGCAGGGGGAGTGGAGAGGGAGAAGCAGGCTTCCCGCGGAGCAGGGAGCATGACCCGGGGCTCGATCCCAGGACCCCGGGATCATGACCTAAGCCGAAGGAAGACGCTCAAGAACTGAGCCACCCAGGCAACCCCTTAACTGATGATTTTCTTTTAGGGCTTTTATTCTATTTTTCCCTTCTTTACTTCAGAATTTCTAAAGCAGTTTAGTACCTTAGGAAAGATAAAATAAGGAAACAAAAATATTGTTTCTCAAATTCATGCCATTTATCTAATTCATCTACTTGATGACTTTGGTGTGGCATTGGTAAGGTACATTTTGTGATCAAATATATATCTCTGCAAGACTTCAGTTCAAAAAGTCACTCTGGAATTTTAATAGAAATATATTGCCTTCCAAAAAGACTTTGCAAAAAGAAAAATTAGAAGTCTGCAAGTAACAGAAAAATAGTTGAGAGGATGGCTGCTACTTTAATAGTCCTCATAAAATCTAATCTATCGGCTAATAGGTAGAATACTCTTAGAAAAAGGAGGCAAGAGATAAAAAAGTAGAGGATTAACACAATGAAACTATGACTTTTTTTAAATGAGAAAACTATATGCTTGCAATGAAGACCCATTAGTTTCTATATGCTATACTCTTTTTTCATGGATATGTTTAAGATAACATTTTATATCTGTAAGCCAAAATTATAAACACCTAGGTATTTTACACATACAAATTAGTTCATTTCTCTTAATTAAAAGAAACAATAACAATTATTGTTTCTTCCCTATAGAGCCTGTAAGATAAATCAGAGAGAAGAGACTTGTAAGTGATCTACTGTCTTGATATATGAATGTACCCCTTAAGTACCAATGAGAAAGACCGGGCATTTGGTAAACATTTTATCAATATTTGAGACAGGAGGGAAAAACAATGCAAGTGAAAAATTAACTTCAAGCAAGAGAAAAATAGTTACAAATCACTGAAAGGAATCATATCTGGGCAGAAAACATTCAAAAATGGACTTGGAATATTTTATTATGCCAGAAAAAAGAGAAGTGCTCAGAAGTCTAGTAGGGCATGTAAAAAAGACAAAGAAGTCAGCTTGAAGGGAATCCCTCCATTTTAGCATCAAAGATTAATGATGGTAATTAATTTTAAAACTGAAAAAATAAAAATTCATGAGTCCATAGCAATAAATACACGCATAAAAAAGGAGAAAGATAAATAGAAAAAAAATCTAATTTGCATCCTATCTTATAAATAACTATCATCCTGACTCCTAAACTAGTAATGAAAGGGAAAGAATTAAGTCGTGACTCTGCCATTCTTAGGGAACTATTTCCCTAAATAGCTTTATCTTACCAAGCTCTGCTTTACTGAGAAATGGCAGCTAATTAATATAAAGACATGACAGAGTTAGAAACTCACCATTCTGTAAACACTAAAGAAATAATTGATTCAGACAAGGATCATGAATGTATGTGTAAAACCACTGGGTGAAAGGTTGCTGGGAAACAGGATATTTACATGGTGTCACCCCACAGATTTCTGCTCATAGCAAAGGGAAAACTACATCCTTATCCTAGAAAGATCTGGCAATTTGGGACAACTTGAGTTTGTGTCTCCTAATGTGATACTCACCATCAGTTATGAAGTTTTTGTTATGAAACGTTAAACTTTAATCTAAGCAAGGTTTGCATAAAACTTCCAGTTTACTGGAAATAGAGGAACAAGATAAATAATACCAGGAGAAATTAAACAGATAAATAAGAGAAAAAGACTGAGGGGAGTTCTTCTAAGAGATATAAAACCATTTGTGGGACAACTGGAGAAATCTGAATAGGGAAGACAGTAAGTGATATTAGGGAATACTTAAGTTTTCTTATATATGATAATGATATTATGGTCATGCCTCTATTTTCAGGAAATGATATGCTGAAGAACTGTATGGATTAAATGTCATGATGTCAGAAACTTAACTTTCAAATACAGGAGAAAAAATATTAGATGCAGATGTTCAAGCACGTTAGTAAGTCTAGGAAGTAGATGCACAGGTATTTAATTGAGGGCAGTGACAAATATATTTTTTAATAATTTTTTATTGTTATGTTAATCACCATACATTACATCATTAGTTTTTGATGTAGTGTTCCATGATTCATTGTTTATGCATAACACCCAGTGCTCCACGCAGAACGTGCCCTCTTTAATACCTATCACCAGGCTAACCCATCCCCCCACCCCCCTCCCCTCTAGAACCCTCAGTTTGTTTTTCAGAGTCCATCGTCTCTAATGGTTCGTCTCCCCCTCCGACTTACTCCCCTTCATTCTTCCCCTCCTGCTATCTTCTTCTTTTTTTTTCCTTAACATATATTGCATTAGACAAATATATTTCTTAAAGTGCAATCTGTATGGCATGAGACTTATGGGAGAATCTGCCTTAGCAATGTTTCCTTAAAAATGAAGAAGGTGATTCATCAAACTGAATGAAGAAGATGGATTTAGATATGTTGAATGTAATTTTACTGCAGTTTCTAATACTCCTAAATTTTTATCTTGTCAATAGCGATTTTATTCACCATAGAAACTTCCATAAACACTACCCCCATGGTTAGTAAGGGGTTACTATATTTAATTAGGTACCTAATAGCATAGCATTTAACCGAAGGTAAATTATATTAGACCAAACCTGTGGTTTGTTTTCTGTGGTTTGTTTACACAACAAACTCTATTAACACAATTTGTGATGCATCAGTTATCTACTGCAAAGGGGACAGAACAGAATTTTCAATTGTACATATCCTCCCAAGAATCATTCATTTAAAACCGTAAGCAAATTCACCAAATACAAAGATTCAAAGAACTCTGGCAACCTAGACCTTCCAACTACTTTTCAGAGACTTAAGAGTGATACCTATTTTTGCACAGTGCCTGTTACCTTGGCCCAAAACCAGGAAGAAACTATTAGGCTCTCAGCAGTCTCTAATGTATTACTCTTTGCAAATATAGCTTTATTTAAACAAATTTAAAACTTCTAAAAATTAAAAAAAAATAATAACTGTAATGTATAAATTAATGGTGATTTGAAGAGAATCATATCTTGCTTTAATTTACTCACAATGTATCAGTACCTTTTCATTATCCTGGTTGTGTTTACTCATCGGTGATGTCGGTACATAAAGATCAGTTTCACCAGCTACTACACACTCTCTCCCAGACAGAAAATCCTGTAGTTGACTCTGTAGAAAACATAGGTTATTAACAATTAGGTGCTATGACAACTATAAAAAACATTTCACACCAAACTGTATATAGTGTCACTGATATTCCCGTATACAGTATTATTACCTGATCTTTGTTGGCAGTAAGTGTACATGGAATTAAACTTTCTAACAAAATACTTGTTTCCAATGGCTGTACTCAAAGAGTTTACAAGTTTAGAGTTAAAAGATAACCTTGGAAATTTAATCCGAGGCTTTTGTTTTTATAGAAAAAAATGAATGGCAAAGAAAAGGCTTACCTAAGGCACACAATAAATGCTTCATCTTGGAATTATATATAAGTAAACTTAGTGTCCTAACAGCATAATATTTCAAACATATTATTTGTTCTAAGGGATCTAAGGTTATATAGGTATTCACACACCCCATTCCTAATGAGTCAACCTGGAGGGAAGGTACAAACTGAATTAACAAAGCCTAATGAGAATGCAAACCACTTATCCTCTCAGCCATTGCAAAATTATAACTAAAACAACTCACCTATACATTTTTATTTTTATTTTCCTATTTTTTTAACTGAAATTCAATTAGCCAACACCAATATATACTTCTTAAAAAGCAATAGAGTTTGCCACTATTCTACTAATATGATGAGCTGGAACTCAGAGCTAACAGTAAGAAAGAAAAAAAAACTAGAAAGACTAGGATTTTGTTGTTCATAACTTGAATATCAAAATTCAAGTTCACTAAAAAAAAGAATTTCCTTCTTTCTTAACAACTTTTGACTTTTACTTCTTTATTACAAAGGACAACTTAGATACCTATTTTCTAAATACTAGCCAGAAACATTTAATGACCACCGACTACATTACAGTGCAAATTTTCAATATTTAAAAAATTAATGTTATGAAATAATTCAGGGTCATTATCTTTAAATAGAAAAGTCATTTTGGGAGAATTTGTGTTTGACAATCACTGTTTTTTTAATTTAATTCCAGTATAGTTAACATATAGTATTATATTAGTTTCAGGTATACAATATAGTGATTCAACACTTCTATACATCACCCTGTGCTCATCACAAGAAGTGCACTCAATCCCCATCACCTATTTCACTCATTCCCCCACCTACCTCCCCCTTTGGTAACCATCAGTTTGTCCTCCATAGTTAAGAGTCTGTTAAGCGTTAGTTAAGAGAGACTCGATGTGTCTCTTTTTTAAAAAAATAATTCACTATTTAATTTTGAATAGAGGTAGTCCTCACACTTGTGGTTCTTATGTTTTCAGAAGAGATGTTAAAAGCAAAGATTTATTCTTTCATAAACACAGTGTTATCTTTTTTAATAATATTACCCTCTGGTTTAAAACTATTTTCATGTTTAATGACATGTAAAGTACAATATTCTAGATCAGTTCAGTGAGTATGGTCCAAGGACTCCTGAGTCCCAAAGGTCCATTCAGGGGATCCAGGAGTTTCTCCCTTTTCCAACGATGTACCTTTGTGAATCTAAATTTTCTTGATATACTTCAATCAAAACAACATATCAAAAAGAAGCAGACATGAGAATCCAGCTATTTTCTATCACACGTGACATCAAGGATATTTCTAAAAATGTAAAACAGTGTCACTATTCTCACAATTTTTTTATTCTTGGAAAATTTATTCATAAAATACTATTCACATTAACATATAATAGGTTTGCTATCAATATTTTAATAACTGATACTTTAAACATATCTCAATTTTAATCTTCAATATAAATATCAACCGATATAACTCATATAAACAAAATCTCCTTGTAGTCCTAAATAATTTTTAAGAGTGCAAAGGGGTTCCTAGAACTAAAAATTTAACAAGGATTCTAGTTGATATAGCATAAAGCTTTCTGAAGTAAGCACAAAAATCACAATGGATTTTCTGTGATGCACTATGAATTTTACTGACTTCTATCTTTCCTGATTTGGTAAGTTGTTATTCATTCTATTTTTATCCTCTTTTTAACTACATTTTTCCATTCAATTAACGGTTACCTTCACTTTCCTGTACTCGCATCAGACCCATTTCTCTATTATTATTTAAAAGTGATAATGCCAATAAACTCCAATATTTAGCCATTTTAACTTTAAACTATCAGAATCTCCCTTAGTATAAGCCTTCCATTTTAGCACACATATTCCCAGTCCACCCTTATAATTTTAACTAGGCACACATACAGTCCAAGTTTCATTGCTCACTACCATCTTCCCCTGGATAGCCATCTGCTCTCTAGTTCATCTGTTTAATTATTACGGTCTTTGAAAGGCAAATTCTTCACTTGAAGTATGAAGATGACATTCTCCAAATTTTTGCATATCCTCACAAATCCTTCCTTTAATTTAGCTGGTAAGTGATATCTTGTTGAGGATGAGATTCTTAGGTCACTGTCCTCCTCTTTCAGGACATGTTATTTCATTGTTGTTCCTTTTAAATAACTTGTTCTTTCCACCAGGAAACTTATAATATTTATCTTTATCCTTAAGAGTTCAGAAATTTTACCAGGATATGCCTAGGTATGTGTCTTTTGTCTTCAACACAGCCTGGAACTTCATAAACACTCTTAACTAACAGACTCAGGGAAATTTTATTATCACAAATGTGGTTAGAATATTTTATTTAATCATGGCCTCTTCTGTGTCTGTTCCTTTTTCTCCTCTGGAATTCCTATCATTTGTTATGTTAAATCCTCTAGATCCAACCTCCAAGTTTCTTAACTTTTCCTTCATGATTTCTTCATCTTCATATTTTTCTCTCTGTACTTTATTTATTTTTAAAAGATTGTTTTTTTTAAAAGATTTTATTTATTTGAGAGAAAGAGAGCGAGAGAGATCACAAGCAGGGGGGAGAGGGAGAAGCAGGCTTTCCACTGAGTAGGGAGCCCGAGACGGGGCTCAATCCCAGAACCCTAAGATTTTGACCTGAGCCGAAGGCAGACGCTGAACCGACTGAGCCACCCAGGTGCCCCTGTTTTTTAAATATTAATTGTATTTGACTTTCAGAACTCTAATTTGTGTCTGAATTCATCTGTTGCATTGGGAAGACTTCTCTTTTTTCTTTTCTTTAAATCTAGAAAGTCTTACATTTAGGTGAGTCCTTGAATTTCCTTGAGTACTTACTATTTTTACGGATTCAAGTTGTCATTCACCACTAAGAGCTCTATTCTGTTGGTCACATGTGATCTTAGTTAACTCATCTTTCTGTGGCTGCTGGGACTCCTTAAGTGGCTGTTGCTTTTCTTCATTGGCTCTTTGAAGGCTCAGCCTTGAGACTGTTGAGGTACCCTAAGTGATGACAATTCTACAAGTAATAGAAGTTGAAATAGTCTCTACTCTTTATGAAGCATCAGTGGAAAAATAAACAGGATGCCAGTCACCTGCTTAAGCCAAGGAAGAGTCTTCTTGTGGTCTCTCAAGGATCACCTACAGTATGCCCATCCATTCAGCTACTTCTTAGCTTCCTGAGTCAGAGAATCCTGGCACACTCACAGAGGGTATTTGTTGACCTTCCCCAGAAAGTCCCCAGATTTCTGAGGGCTGCTAAGCTCTTCTTGGAATCTACAATTTCTTCTCAGCCCAGGTCTCCAATGTCCTTCAGATAATTGTTAAATTCATGAAAAAGCAAACTCTGTACCAATCGTCTCTATTTGGACTCCATTTAGAATTCAAGGCCTTATATGCTCCCAGATGTCCGCAGGCCCTGCATCCATGTTCCCCAGGAGAGGAATTATAATGTATGAAATATTTATATGTATTTATACATTTATAATTGTATGAAATACAATTATAATGTATGAAATAACTTGTTCAAGTTACCATGTTCCCAGAACATCCCTGTCTTACCTTTATCTTAATTCCTCGTAACTTCTGCCTTATTTAGGCTACAATAAATAAGAAACAAAGATACATAAGCATATGTATCTTTAAAGACACTTTTAGGGGCACCTGGTTGGCTTAGTTGGTTAAGCATCCCACTCTTGGTTTCAGCTCAGGTTATGATCTCATGGGTTGTGGGATCAAACCCCTCATAGGACTCAGTACTCAGTGGGGGGTCTGCTTGAAGATTCTCTCCCACCCCTCCCCCCCTCAAATAAATAATTTTTAAAGACACTTTTAGCATAAATTAGGGTTATTTTAATGCATTTTTGAGGAAATCAATCTAGGGATCTGTTATCCTGCTCACTTTTTCTTCATTGGAAATTTCCCTAGAGCAAACAAGTATCAAAGATCAAATCTTCCATTTTAAGTGCAGAAAAATTTCAACTTCACATGCTATCATCTCAGCAGCTTCCACTCTACTCCTGATGTTCTGCAGAAGAACATTATTGATATTTGGAGACACAGAACTCCCTCAAATGTAGATCTATATATCTCATACTGTAGTTGATGCACTTAAATGAAGAGGCTTATTAGAAGACTTAGACAGGAACAAAGGATAAGATGAAAACAATGTGCCCAAAAACCTCAGGCAGATTATACTCTCATTGGTTTATCAGAAGATTCTCTTTGTTGTTCCTACAATCTAATACTTAGGTTTGATTAGCCTCTCTAAATTAACTATATGAAAAGAAGTCAAAAATCATCTCTACAAGCAAATAAAATATAGGTAGGGAGGAATGAAAAAAAACTATCTTGCCTCACAAGTATCTTTACCATAGTGTGGGGATGCATGTGTGTCTCAGAAAGTTACAACAAGGGGGCACCTCGGTAGCTCAGTCAGTTAAGCATCTGCCTTTGGCTCAGATCATGATCCCAGGGTCCTGGGACTGAGCCCCAAGTGGAGCCCGCATTGAGCCCTGTGTTGGGCTATATGCTCAGCGGGGAGCCTGCTTCTCCCTCTCTCTTTGCCCCTCCCCCCACACTCGTGCTCTCTCTCTCTCAAATAAATAAATAAAATTTTTAAAAAAAGTTACAACAGGGGAAAGGGTTCCATTATAGCCCAGTGAGGCCAAGACAGCAAACTGCCTGCCAATATCCACTCTCCCCTTCTTCCTCAGTAACAGAGATTTTGTTTTTATTCTGGCATGTTACCCAGAAAAAAAAAAAAGACTATATTCTCCATCTTCCCTAACATCTTGGTGTGGCCATGTGACTAAGCTTTGGGCAAGGACATGGAAGCAAAAGAGCCATGTCTCTTTAAAAGGAAAGGAGTGTTGTGCTCCCTTACTACTTCCTGATGCAAGGAAAGCTGCTATGGAATCTGGAGCTTCAACAGCTACCTTGAACCACAAATGATCTTGAGGGCAGAGGTCAAGAACTACGACGGGAGAGCAGAATGACAGAAAAATCCTAGGTATCTGATAACCACAGAGCTGTCACATCAGTCCCAGATGCTTACATTAAGACTCCTTTTATAAGGAGTGAACTAAACTTCCATTTTCTTAAACCACTGTTACTCTGGAGGTTTCTATTACAAGCAGCCAAAACATGATTTCCAAGTATCAGATAGAAATATTTATAAAATATTTTAATATCTTAGACAATATAATAAACATTTTCTTCTAATTATATCTACAATTATTGTTATTACCACTATTTAATTGCTACTTTATTGATACTCAGTAAATGTTAAGATAAATATATTTCAACACTTTAAAACAACTAGATACATCCAAATATATTCTAAAACAGTTTATTAATTCTAATGTAGATAAAACCAAACTGCAAAGGATGGCATCTCATTAGTTTTAAAATTTACATTCAATAAAAAAATAAAGCAGTGAATATGTGTATGTAAAAAAAAAGGAACAGTATATTACCTCATGTTTATTGCATCGTACTATCGTCACAAAATGATACCCTATCTCAGTAAAACAATATTAATCCATAGAGAGAGTCATAACAATCATTTATACAACATATGCCAAATGAACAGATGCACATTAAACCAAGAAAGTAAAATAGAAAAGCAATCCTTGGCACAAATTCAAAAAGAAATCACGCATTTGGGACCGATCTCTTTGTTAAAACTTTTTGATCTAGTAAGAAGCTGTTCTTGTATTTCAACCAAATAACAGAATTCCAGTAAAATTTACCACTGAAATATTTCTTTCCAGTAATAACTAACTTTCAGGTAGATAAATTTCCATTTCTAACATGATCTTAAAAACAAAAGCATTATCAAGTTACTATAAATGCTGATACCATAGTTTAAAATAAAAATAAATCTAGCCAATTTTCATTTAAGATATAATTATTTTAAAAAATACTTACAGGGGATATGTTGGCATTATTTTCACAACTAGAAATCAAAACACATTTTTTATAAACATCAATCAGATCTAACATATTACTATTCTTTAAGAAATCATCGTAAATCCTCCTAATGTCCTCATAATGGTCAATCACTTCCATATTTTCAACTGATAAGTTCAACTTCTCATGTAGGAAGTATTTCCAGGTCAATAAGACATCGCTGAGGGAAACTGTAAATTCTCCACTGTGCTGAAAGAGACAATGCCAAAAATCAAAAGATAAAGTTGGGTACCAGAATATTCATTAACTAGTAATTGAGATGGGAAGTACAAATTGAATTTTGTTACAGAAAAGTCTACATTGAATTCTTGTGGATTTGAAGAGATCATCCAAGCTGAGTTATGGAATAATTTTAAAACCAGATAGAAAAGAAAAAGATTTTGATGGTTTTATAAAATATAAATAACTGGCAAGTTTGTGCATGACAAAATTAGCAAATATATAGTCATTCTTCACTAAATTTCTTCTACCCAAGTTCAGGGAATGGGTGGGCAGTGATCTGTTCTTAAGTACTACTGATCGGGGAAACATTTGATTCTGTTAATACTTAGTTCCTTTTAGCTCCTCTAGCTAATGTATTTTTAATCTCTTATTCAAAACTTTCAATGCCATACTGAATTACCACATACCACACTATTCCAACTGTTAGTCTTAAAACATGATCATAAACACTAAATTTTTAAAAATCACATTTTGTTTCATTATTGTTCCAGGAAAAGCAAAATATCAGTGCTAAAACCTTGGGTTAGAGAAGAATTTTGATTCTTCCCTGCTCATGGACACATTAAACTATAAACAAGTGCTAAAAACCCACAGCTTCTTCCTATAAGTTGTTGGATGTTCCTATTGAGGTAAAATTGTTCTTTTTTCTCTTCTTCAATATCAACATGATGTATTAGTAGACATGCTGAAGGATTTTTTTTTAATTAATTGCATTCTGCTCCCACTTAATATCCCAGATATTAATAATGGTGCCCTCCATGGGGCGCCTGGGTGGCTTAGTCATTAAGCATCTGCCTTTGGCTCAGGTCATGATCCCAGGGTCCTGGGATCGAGCCCTGCATCGGGCTCCCTGCTTGGCCAGGAAGCCTGCTTCTTCCTCTCCCACTCGCCCTGCTTGTGTTCCCTCTTTTGCTGTGTCTGTCTCTGTCAAATAAATAAATAAAATCTTTAAAAAAAAAATGGTGTCCTCCAAAAAATGCCAGCCCTAATTCAGTAAAAAATTCTAACTACTCCTTTCCAATACAGCATGAATAACAAATATTTTTAAGTATCCATATGTAATTTTGTGAAATGTATTATGTTGCTCTCTTCCACAGTTAAGATCCCTTAATATGTTAGTAGTTTCTGGTAACGCCAAGATTTTTCCATCATTTGCACTGAAAGATGGGTGGATATTTAAATAAAACCGTAATTCACTGGAACTAAAATTGTAACATCATCTTTAGCCAATGAAGAATAATAAAAAGAATCAAATAGAGACAAATAGGGGCGCCTGGGTGGCTCAGTCAGTTAAGCGTCTGCTTTCGACTCAGATCCTAGGGTTCTGGGATGGAGCCCCACGTCTGGCTCCCTGTTCAGCAAGGAGCCTGCTTCTCCCTCTCTCTCTGCTGCTCCCCCTGCTTGTGCTATCTCACGATCTCAAATAAATAAACAAAATCTTAAAAAAAAAAGAGCCAAATAATATACTATTTTCTACCTGACTCTTTTAAATCTATATTTATTTTATAAAAATCAGGCATATTTCTAGTTACTATCCAAATTTAAGGCAATTATGTTTAAACTGCCTTAAAAATAATTAACTTTTACTCATCCTTATGGAGACAACTAAGAAAATTATCCTTACTGTCTTTGGAGGGACCTGCTATATCAAAATTATAAAAATTAATTATATTTCATGAAACTAATTCAGTGAAAAACCAAAAAAAAAGTAACTCTCAAATCTTGAATCCATAACCCAAATGTAAGACAGATTGTAATTTCTCAGCATTGCATCAAAAATTGTGTACTTTACTTCCCAATCCCACAAAAATTATACAATAAAATTTCCAAATGGTATTTAAGTTAAATAAATCCAGCTATTTAGAGTTTGAAACTAACTTATTTTATCTCAAAAATTCCTAAAACTGTTTTGATATGACATCCTTCATATGAATAATAAATTAAAATTTTGCCTAATGTAAATGTACAATTCAGTCTCATTCTGTTGACTGTAACTAGTTAAAGTAAAACCATGCAAGCTCTTGATCTTGTGAGAAAAGGTTTTGACTAGATTAACAGTGTTTATACTGGGATTGTAAAAACATTTTAAATCCAAATAAAAATGTACTCCAGATATCAGTTTTCATGATCAGGTGCCCACCATGACAGCATATTCTATTATTCAAACCAGTAACAACTGATTCAGAGAGCTTGTGGTCAAATCAGAAAATGTTTTGCTAGGAAAACATGCCAGCTGGCTAATATCTGAAGGAAGTTCAAGATGGTCAATGCTTTAGTTCTCTGATGGACATAAGAAGGATTATATTTCATAAGAAAAAATGAGAAAAAAAATGAAGTTACACTTTTTCAGAGCACTTGTACTTTGTATATTTTGCTGAAGTTATTTTAATAATTATTCAAAAACTTAAACTTTACATTTTTAACTAACTGGAACTTTTGTTGTTATCAAAAAACAGAAAAGATAGCAAGTCTACTTAAGGGCATTAATCGGCTAGGTGACCATGGGCAAAATAATGAAAATCCTGTGAATACTTTTCCCTGATTATAAAATGAGATTATACAGATTAAATAACACCTGATGAATGGCAGGTGATCAAAAAATGTCATTCTTTCTCTTTTCTTATTCAAACTAAAATAATTGTTTGTTAGGAGGAGTATTATATAATGTAATACAATTGTAAAAACTGTTTCTTCTTATTTGTTATGTCAATGTTAGGTCATTTTCAAATCTGACAGTCAACCACAGACTGTGGCTTTCCATGAAGTTATAAAATTAATATCTTTGTTTCACCCCATGGAACATTTGTAACGTTCTTAAGGCTATTTAAGTTCATGAAAAATAGCATTTATAATGTAATTGCCAGACAGAGTCAAACTATGAAGTCAATTCCAAGGAAAGGAAAAGCTAAAACACTATTTGCAACTTAATAATAAAAGTCATATATATTTGCCATGTAGTCCTCAAGGAATCTATAAGTTAAATCTTTAGCAGTATAAAACTCCTAGAGGTCATCCAATTTAAGCTAAAAAAACTTCCCCTCAGAAAACATGCCAAAACCTAAAACTCAAAGATTATTTTAATTACCTTTTCTTTATCCCCATTAAAGCAGCGAAGAAAACAAACATGCCAGTAGACAGACTAACAACTCTACTAGGTATTCACAAGTTTTATTGTAGTCAAATTCAGTTGGGAGGATCATACTTTAGAGACTCGTGTTCTCAAACTTCAGAGAATTAAAAACCTAAATAAAGCTCACAAAGTGAAAAATATAGGTGAAGCATATATACAATCAACCCCAACTTTTTATTACCGTCTACTACTTATGAATGCACTTGCAGGCATACATGTATGTTGTTTCATATTGCTGAGTGACATGGAAGTCTGAGCACAGCTGGGGATGCCTGAGCTAACTCCACATGGAGAGTTGGAGTCAATCAGAACTGCAGTCCACCATCTCCACTGCACATGTGCACACACATACACAAACTGTGATAAGCTCAGTTGCAATTCACCCCTCCTCTTCTTTCCCACCCAGAGTCTGAACTTTCACAGTGAATTAAGTGAATTAGCAAGTAGAAAATTAAAAAGTAGAAAGAGATCCTGAGTGAGTGCTACACAGACAAGCCCAGAAGAAAAAACGACTTGAACTGAGTATTTCAACATATCAAAATTTTTATAATGAAAACTAAATTTTCTTCAGGGTACATTTCACTTACCTTTCTGATATATTTATGTTTCAAAAATTATTCATAAACAAACAGTAGAAGGTGATTAGAACATGGTCTGCTTAATTCCAAAACAACAGCCCTCAATTACTGTACAATAATGATTCTTAATAATTGCTTCAATTTCTCTCTTTTCATTTTCCAGTGAATGGTCACCAAAGTTTAACCTTTAGCTAGTCTATTCCATTTACACAATATCCTCAGATTCTATTAATTACCTTGGCACCATTTCTTCATGTTACTAAAGAAGGAGAGATTTTTTTTTTAAATGCTCAGGCAGTAAAATTGGAAAGACTTGAATGTGGATTGCAATGGAAAGCAAAAGAAAGAGACTTTACAATGACCTTTGGGTGTCTAGCTTCACAGACTAAGTGAACAATGGTATATAAGATTAAGACTCAGAATATAAAGAAGAAGGTAAGTTGAGGGAGGAAACAATATAGTCTACTTTTAAAAACTGATGTGGAGACCATACTGGGACATCAAGGTAAAATGTCCAGTAAGTAGCTGATCATACCAAGTTAGACTCAGTAGAGAAGTCTGGCATATAAATACTGGTGAAACAATGTAAAAGGAAATATAACCAGTTGAAGGTAGGTAAAATGGAGCACATCAGAAGTTATCAACAAAGTGTGTTACAAAGCGAGTATCCAAAGTACATGTAGAACTCTTTTAAAGAGTAAGAAAGAGATAAAAATAACTCAACAGTAAAATAAGCAAAAGATATGTATGAGCAGACAATAAAAAGAGGATACCTAAATAGTCAAATAAACATTTTTAAAGATGTTTAATTGCTCTAGTTAATAGAAAAATTCAAATGAAATACCCTCTTCTCTCTTTTCTTGTTCTTAGACAACAACATCTAATATGGAGAAAGATAAGAAAATGGTACCGTCCTATTGTTGATATAAATGTAAATTCTAATAACCAAGTTGAAGAGTAATTTGGTAGCAACAAGTCAAATTAAAGATGTATCTATCATATGACCACCTGTGTATGGGGTCTAGAGAAACTCTTGTTCTGTGCAGACATCTCATTTCAATGAAGAATAGATTATAATACCAAAAAAAAAGTCTATCAATGAGTAAAATATACCAGTCATACAAAGGATGATTGGTAAAATGAATAAATTAGATCAACTTTTCTATCAGTACCTAAAGAGGTCTTGAAAACAATGTTGGATAACAAAAACAAGATGCAGAAAGAATGTATACCATCTGTTATAATTTTAAAACAGATAC